GACCATAATAATTCATTTCTGGCCTCTCTATTCTGTTTCATTGGCCTATATGTCAGTCTTTATGCTAGTACCACACTGTTTTGATTACCATAACTACAAAATAAGTTTCAAAATCAGGAGGTGTGAGGCCTCCAACTTTTTTCTTCTTATCCAAGATTGTTTTGGCTTTTCAGGGTCCCTTGAGGCTGCATAACAATTTTAAGATTTTTTTTCCTATTTTTGCGGGGGAAAAAAGGCCATTGGAATTTTTATAGGGATTGCATTGAATCTGTACATTACTTTGGGTAGTATGGACATTTTAACAAAATTATGTCTTTCAATCCATGAACATGGAATATCTTTCCACTTACTGTTTCAGCAATGTTTTGTAGTTTTCAGTGCACAGGTTTTTCACCACCTCAGTTAAGTTTATTTCTAAGTATATCATTCTTTTGGATGGTATTGTAAATGGTTTTTCTTAATTTCCATTTCAGATTCTCCATTGTTCACGTACAGAGATAATTTTTGTGTGTTGACTTTGAATCCTGCTACTTTACTGAATTCATTTATGAGCTCTAACAGTTTTTTGGTGAAATTTTTAGGGCTTTCTGTATACGGTATATAATCATGTTGTCCGCAAACAGACAATTTAACTTCTTCCTCTCCAAACAGGATGTCTTCTATTTCTTTCTCTTGCCTACTTGCTCTGATTAGCACTTCCAAGTGGGCATCCTTGCCTTGTTCCTGATCTCAGAGTAAAAGCTTTCAGTCTTTCAACACTGAGTATGATGTTAGCTGTGGGCTCTTCACATATGGTCTTTACTATGTTGAAGTTGTTTCTTTCTATTACCCGTTTGTTGAGTGTTTTTATCACGAAAGTGTTGAATTTAGTCAAATGCCTTTCCCGCAAAAATTGAGATAGCCATGTGGTTTTTGTCCTTCAGTCTGTTAATGTGATATATTACATTGACTGATTTTCATATGTTAAACCATCCTCACATTCCAGTAATAAATCCCACTTGGTTCTGGTGTATGGTGCTGCTCATGTGCTGTTGAATTCTATTTGCTAGTATTTTGTTGATTTTTACATCAATATTCAACAAGGATATATTACATTGACTGATTTTCATATGTTAAACCATCCTCACATTCCAGTAATAAATCCCACTTGGTTCTGGTGTATGGTGCTGTTCATGTGCTGTTGAATTCTATTTGCTAGTATTTTGTTGATTTTTACATCAATATTCAACAAGAATATTGGTCTCTAGTTTTCTTTTCTTGTAGTGTCTTTGTCTAGCTTTGGTATTAGGGTAATACTGGGCTCAAAAAATGAGTTTGGAAATGTTCCCTAATCTTTAGGTTTCTAGGTGTTTAAGGAGGATTGCTGTTAATTCTTTAAGCGTTTGGTAGAACTCTCCAGTGAAGCTGTCTGGTCCTGGGCTTTTCTCTGTTGAGAGATTTTTGATTACCACTTCAATCTCCTTACTAGTTCTAAGTCTGTTCATATTTTTTTTTATTTCTTCATGATTCAGTCTTGGTAGGTGGATGTTTATCCATGTCTTCTAGGTTATCAAACTAGTTGGCATATAATTTGTTGTGTTCATAGTATTCTCTTATAGTCCTTTTTTATTTCTGTGGTATCAGCTGTAATGTCCCCTCACTCATTTCTGATTTTAGTTACCTGAGTCTTCTTTCTTTTTTTCTTAATCTAGCTAAGAGTTTATCAATTTGGTTGATTTTTTTTAAAATGTTTAGTTTCATTGAATTTTTTTCTGTTATTTTTCTATTTTCTATTTTGTTTCCTTTTGCTCTGACCTTTATTGTTTCCTTCCTTCTGCCAACTTTGGATTTAGTTTGATCTTTTTCTAATTCCTTGAGATTAAAGTGAGGTTGTGGATTTGAGATCTTTTTAAATGTAAGTGTTTACAGCTACAAAATTTCCTTTTAGTACTGCTTTCACTGCATCCCATAAGTTTTGGTATGCTATGCTTTTATTTTCATTTGTCTTGACATATATTCTAAGTTCCCTTGTGATTTCTTCTTTCAACCAATGGTTTCATTACACTATGGTCTGAAAAAAATACTTAGTATGACTTCAATCTTTGTAGATTTGTTAGGCCTTGTTTTATGACCTAACATGTAGTCTATCCTGAAGAATGTTTCATATTTACTTGAGAAGCATGTATATTCTGCTATTGCTGGGTGTAATGTTCTGTATATGTCTGTTAGGTCCAATTGATTTATACAGCTGTTCAAATCCTCTGTGTCTTTATTGATCTTGTGAGTGGCTGTTCTATTAATTATTAAAGAGGGGTACTGAAGTCTCCTACTATTATTGTGCAGCTGTCTATTTCTCTCTTTAATTGTCAATGTTTGCTTCATATATATATATATATATATATATATATATTTTTTTTTAAAGATGACCGGTAAGGGGATCTTAACCCTTGACTTGGTGTTGTCAGCACCACGCTCAGCCAGTGAGCTAACCAGCCATCCCTATATGGGATCCGAACCTGTGGCCCTGGTGCTATCAGCACCGCACTCTCCCGAGTGAGCCACGGGCCGGCCATATATTTGAAAGCTCTGATGTCAGGTGCATATATATTTATAATTGTTATATCTTCCTGGTGAATTGACCCTTTTATCAATATATAATGTTCTTCATCTCTTGTGCCCTTCTGAAAGTCTATTTTTAAAATATAAGTATGGCCACCCTGCTTTCTTTTAATTACCATTTGCATGGGATACCTTTTTCTGTCCTTTGACTTTCCCTCTATATGTGTCTGTACATCAAAAGTGAATCTCCTGTAGACAATATATACTTAGATGTTGTTTGTTTTTTTTTAATCCATTTAGTCAATCTATACTTTTGATTGGGATGTTTAATCCACTTACATCTAAAATAATTACTGATAGTGAAGAACTTACTATTGCCATTTTGTTAATTGTTTTCTGTATGTCTTGCAGCTATTTTGTTCTTCTCTTCCCTTTAAAAAGACAGAACATTGGACACAAAGTTCACTCTTTTCTTTCCTTCCCAAAGGAGAAATTTGTAGTTGGGAGTTTCTACCTGATCTTGCCATGCTGTGTTGGCTGGGAAGATAATATGCACTAATTCCTACCTGCTTTGATATATCTCTTCTTGGCTTTGCGCTGCAATCTCTTAACTGATTTCTGGAGTTCTCACAAAGGCAACTTGGTCTGTAAATTTATGTTACATCAGTATCTGTGGGAGATGACAGCCTACAGCTTCCTATCTCACCATATTGCTAACATTACTTTTTAATTATTCTTTAAATGTTTGGTAGAATTCACCAGTGAGTCCATCTGGGCCTAGGCTTTTCTTTGTGAGTAAATTTTTAAGTATTACTTTAAACTCTTAGTTTGTTATAGATCTATTCAAATTTTCCACTTCTTCAATCAGTTTCAGAAGTTTGTGTCTTTCTAGAATTTGTCTATTTCATCTATGTTATCCTTTGGTATACAGTTATTTACAGTATTCCCTTATAATCCTTTTTATTTCTGTAAGATGGACAGTAATATCCCCTCTTTCATTCCTGATTTTAGTAACTTCAGTTTTCTCTCTTTTTTTCTGGGTCAGTCTAGCTAAAGTTTGTCCATTTTGTCAATTTTTTCAAAGAACTAACATTTGGTTTTGTTATTTTCTGTTTCATTAATTTCCACTCTAACCTTTATTATTTTCTTCTTTCTGCTTGTTTTATGTTTGCTCTTCTTTTTCCAGTGTGTTAAAGTAGAAGGTTAGGTTACCGATTTTAGGTCTTCCTTCTTTTTTAGTGTAGATGTTTACAGCTTTGTATTTCCCTCTAAACAAGGCTTTCACTGTATCTCACAAGTTTTATTATATTGAGTCTTCATTCTCATCCACCTCAAAGTAAATTCTCATTTCCCTTATGATTTCTTCTTTGACCCACTAGTTATTTAGGAGTGTTGTTTGATTTCCATATATTTGTGACTTTCCCAAATTTGTAAGTCAATAATTTTTAATTTCAATCCATTGTGACCAGAGAACATACTTTGCATGACTTCAATCCTTTTAAATTCAGAGCTTGTTGTATGGCCTGGTATATGATCTGTCTTGGAGAATATTTCATATGCACTTGAGGAGAATGTGTATTCTATTGCTGTTAGGTGGAGTATTGAGTGAATATTCTCTCTGGTATAGCATTTTAATTCCTTTAATGGTTTTTTTCACTATGTTTTTTGAGTTAATTTCTTTGTAATTGCTCTAGGGCTTCTAATATACACTTTAACTTATCAGAGTCTACTTCAGATTTATACTAAATTGGTTCTAGTTAAATATAGAAATATTACTCCTCTATAGCTCTATTCCCTCTTCCCCGTCTCTGTGCTATTATTGTTATACATATTACATCTATATATGTTACAAACCCAATGACATAGTGTTTTGGTTTTTTCATTTGTTTCATTTTTGAAACAATAACTGCAATTGAATATAGTCTTTGGGGCGGGGATTACCAAGTGTGGCAATAATAATATGAGGGGTCCTCAAAAAGTTCATGGAAAGATTCATATATCTTTTAATTCTAGTACCCTCGTGTAAGAGGATTTTCAAAATTAATCAGAGCTCCAAACTTAAGAATGACCACACCTAAATTCACAACTTTCCAGACTTCCATTTCAAAATATTAATGGACAGAAATATGATCTCTAATTCTCAGACTTGATACACTCTGGTTCCTTGGCTTTACCTGCACTAAAGCCCATATGTTCCCCTCAGAAGTGCATTCTCCTTGCTCTACAGAAGGAAATGCCAACACAGACAAATTAAGAAAAATGTCTTATGAAAGGCAGTGAATACCACCTCCCTGACAGAAAGATTACTAATAGCAAAACACATTATCCAGATCATCTCTTCCCAAACAGAAGGAAGGTAATGCTACAAGAAAAAAGAGAATATTCATAATTTCATTCCAAAAATAAACTCTCCTGAAATCTGGCTTGAGTTGTAATTTCTCTTCCTCTGAGGCTCTCCTTACCCGAAATGGGGTGTTGATTCGGCTTGTAAGTGTGTCTAGAATGTGGACATTCTCATGCTGGTGCAATAGGATAAAACGGAGGAAGATCTCAAGTAGTGCTGGCTCGGAGATGCTACGCAGGAAAAGGTCCAGATATGCAGTTGTGGTCATGACCTCCTCCACAGTCACCTGGGACCAACGACAGAGTGAGCACAGATTAAATCATCCTCTTGATGCTGTGAATACATGCCTCCCCAATGGCCCCTGGCCTCACCACAGCGACCCCATCAAGGCAAGAACACGCCTGCCATGAAAACACACTTCAGAGCTTTCTCTGAAGCCCATAACCTATTCACATTCCACAATACCTCATGCTGCTTCCATCCTTTAATTCAGTAAAGGGAAAGCAAAGGCATAAAGAAGTAATTCAAGTGTTCTGACAACTCTAATCACCAAATGCAGTTCAAATACCATAAAGATTTTAGTGTGTAATCTAAAATGGGGAAAAAAGATAATAGGAAGTATTTACATGGTTTGTAAAGGATTAATTAGAAAGCTTAGTATAATATGTTTCATTATTAGTCATCCAATAAACATTTATTGGGATCTGCTATGTACAAGGAGCTAGAAACATAAGAACATAGTTTATGTCCAGGAAGATGGGCTATAACAAACAAAAGGATAATATAATAAATTGTAAAGGAGAGATACAGACACAGAGTGCTACAGATGTGCAGATGTGTTTCTGGAGAGTTGTAAGTGGGTTTTTATAACCGAATAATATACATAAAGTGTTATTTATAAAGTGCTATAAGAGTTTACAGCTTATAAAGTAACTGTGACTTTTTTATAACACAAATTAGTATTTCTACCTGGTGTAATTTTCCCATGCAGTAAATTGTCAATCTTTCAGTGAATAAGACTCTAAACAGTCAAGTTTTTCAAAGAGCTTAAGATTTAATTCTTAAAGAATCAAAATTTTAATCTTAAACATTCTGACTCTGATTTAAGAGCTAATATATGCTTCTTTGTCCTAAAATACAGAGTATAACATCTTTCGATGAATAGAGGTCATCACCAGGGTCATCAATTGCCCATTCAGGCATATAGAAACACCCACACTCGAATGCATGAAAATTACCAGAGAAATAGTTCAAACATTCAGATTCCAACAGCACACCCTAGAAATCTTAGAAATCCTCCCACTAGGAGTCTAATGCACTTGATTCTAAACAAAACAGATGGCAGTGCTTTTTGAGTGATTATATCTTCTCTTTTCCAGTTCTCCATCTTCTTTCTTCCTCCCTTTAAAAGTGTTAGCTGCCTCTTTATCATACTGTTACTGGGCCATTCCTTTTATAGTACATTCCTCTTTTAATTTTCTGCTTTCAAAATCCACAGATCAGTTTAGAAACCAGATGTCCAGATCTGCTACATAAGTGGAGATAGGCCCTGAATGGATGCATCTGTGAATAAAAGCTTGGTGATATCTATTTTGGCTGCTTAAATTACTTTTAAAAGGTTCTTGGTGCTCAGCTAGGTTCTGGACAGAGGAGTATAGGTAGATAAGGTATTAGCAAATCAGTTTTGTCTGTTTTCTTTATTCTAAGCAAGGCATGCTTATATAGTCCATTCGAATTCGCTCTCTCAGAATCTACTGAGAACTCACACGGCATGACCCTGAGTGTCCTGAGCACAGAATCAGAGTGCAAACACCTCTGTCCCAGTACAGCAACAACACTGTGAGCCCTCAAACATTCAACACACCACTGTGTCATCTGCCAACTTTACAAGGCTCTCTGTGGCCCCCAAACAGCAACAAAAGCAGTTAAGTATCAACCACTTGGCAAATAAATTACATTGAGAAGACTTTCTCACAGGCTGCCTCTGCTTCTGGAACAATCTGCTTCTATCCTTGTGTTTTCTGATGTTCAGTGTTCTCTAGCCCCATGTACATGGCGCTCCTAATGTCCTTTGACCTGGGACATAAAATGTGTCTTTTCCTCATTTCCCCAGTGCAGTGTACAAAGCCTAGCACATAAAAGGTACTTTTCTTGAAAGAATGAAAGTCCCCAAGGATCTAGCAATTCACATTTGCCAGAGTTGAGCTTAACTTTTTTTGTTTGTTTTCTTTTTTTAAAGAGATGACTGGTAAGAGGATCTTAACCCTTGACTTGGTGTCAGCATCACACCCTCCCAAGTGAGCCAACCGGCCATCCCTATATAGGGATCCAAACCCGCGGCCTTGGTGTTATCAGCACCGCACCCTCCCAAGTGAGCCAACCGGCCATCCCTATATAGGGATCCAAACCCGCGGCCTTGGTGTTATCAGCACCGCACCCTCCCAAGTGAGCCAACCGGCCATCCCTATATAGGGATCCAAACCCGCGGCCTTGGTGTTATCAGCACCGCACCCTCCCAAGTGAGCCAACCGGCCATCCCTATATAGGGATCCAAACCCGCGGCCTTGGTGTTATCAGCACCGCACCCTCCCAAGTGAGCCAACCGGCCATCCCTATATAGGGATCCAAACCCGCGGCCTTGGTGTTATCAGCACCGCACTCTCCCAAGTGAGCCACGGGCTGACCCCTGAGCTTAACTTTTAATTTTTTCTTATCTCTACATGTTTCCCAAAGGCCCCAGAGAGTAGGGACATTTTTTATAAAGACTCTAAAATAAATGATGTCACCAAGTACAGCTAAGGGGGGAATGACTCACAACAACCTCAAACATTTAGTTCCATTAGCTCACTTCCACTCCACTACTGCAACCTTGGGGTCCTTCAGTGGAAATATAATCCAAAATTATTTAAGCATAAGTCTAATTCCCTAATAATCTTGATCTCTAGAAAAAAAGCAGTGACATCATTCTAAATAAGCCATGTGTGTAGTTTCTGTAATACCGTGTTCTCTACCTACCTATTGAGCACTTCTACACCAACATGTCATACAGAATTCCAGCCTTTGTACCAATAATGCAGCATCAGCTTTTCTCCCCTTAAGTTACACATGACCTTAATAAGCTCAAAAGCACAGCAATAAACTCTTTAGAATATAAGTCTTAGACTTTGGGGGCTAACATGAAAGGAGGGCATTAAGCATCTATTGTCTACTACTCTTAGGCTGGATAAATGAAAAGATTTTCTTTCTTTTTAGAAATCAAAGCTGTCATTTATAAGCTAAGAGGATTTAAGAAAGCACTTGGAGGGGCAGCATTTGCATAACATGCTGTAAATATTAAAAACCCAATTCCATTAAGCATCAAGTTGCAAATTCTTTATAAATCGAGGTCACACTCACCTTAAACTAATACCCAAAGCAGGGAAATTTGGTTCTCTTCTCTTTCCATGTCTTCCCTCCATCACATCTTCAGAGCCTTTAGAAGCCTTTTATCCCAGAAAATCTTTTCCTGCCCCATTATCTTACTTTCAGAAACTTCCTCTAATCCTCCCCAAATAGGCAACCTCCTTAATGAGGATGAGACCAGAGCCTAAGTGTGATCACTTGAAAGCTAACGATAAACCACCAGAGGAAAGACACTCTGCTGTGCAGAATGTAAAATGGAATCTTCCACTAATGCCCCAAAGAAGAAGTATCAGCAAAATAGGAAAGTAGCATCCTCTTCAAGTTCCAATTAAGTAGGACAATCAGATGTTAATGTAAGACCTTTTGCCATATAGATGACTAGTAATACTGATTTACCTTGTTCTATAAGAATTGCAGGTATCTACAAATTTACATAGAAATACTAGTAGAAATAGTAAATGAGGTTCTTACTACCATATCATACACAATAATAAAGCTTAAGAGTAGTATTTCTACCCCAAGGCCACAGTGACTGAAATAACCTAAAGAACACTCAGTTTCCACAAACAAACAATTATCCTTGGCAAGATAAGAACAACCCTAGAGAATATATCTGCTTAGGCACTCTTATGTGCTTACTTTTCAGCCTAAGTTCTAGAATGAAGCCCTGACTCGAATACTTGATTTTACTGCTAGAAAGCCCAGTTTAGTCCATCCTTTGAAACGATCTGTTTTCACCCCCCTTCACCACCCTCTTCTAGCCCTTGCCTGGCTCCTTCTCATGCCAAATGCCTTCACTAATCCCTTAAACTGGTGTTTTAGAAACTACAGTTTGAAACCCAATAGTGGGTAGTGAATTCAGTTTATTGGTTCTTTAATAGTTTAGACCAGATTCAAATAGAAAATATTAGGATACACTACATGTAGTAAGAGAAAGTACTGTTTTATGAAACTTCATAAAATAACATATTTTGTTGAAAAAATATATAATGCAATATATTACATGTATGTGCTTTGCTTGTATATTCAGTAAATATATATATGCAAACATATTAAATATATTTCTGGCTGTAAGCTGTGGTTAAAAACCTGAGAAAAATACTATACTACACAATTCACAATCATCTTTTCCATCCTTTCACCCACCAATTTCTGCTGCCAGTTCCCTGTCCTCCAGGCTGTAACCCAGCATCATCTGGCCTGGAAGAAGTGCACACACAGCTGAGATCAGTTTTCTGAACAGGAGGGCAACTGAATTTACAGTCAATCTACTTCTTTGTACCTTAGCCTAAGAGCTCCAAAAGTGTATTTTCGTTTTTAATTAGAAGTTCAGGTTTCTCAGAAATGGACAAAATGTTTTCTTTCTAAAAGGGGGTGGGTGGGAAGGGAGGAGATGACACCATGTGTCACATTCCACTTCTATAAAGCCAAAACTCTACCAAAAAAATAAAGGCCCAAACCAAGCCTAGCCATCATGCACACAATCACAGCAGCACATGAACTTAACGTGTAGTGTAGGAGTGAAATTGGGCATAGAGACATTCTGACCTTTCTGTAATCAGCTCTAGTTGGGTGATTCTATTTGCATCTAAATTAGCACCTGAATCCTCCCTGTAATGGCAGGTTTATGTATGTCCTGAAAAATAAATTTCCTACCTGCTAATTGTTTTTTGTGCTCCAGTCACATTGGAGCAAACAGATGGATTCTACCTTCTGTCACTCAGGCAGGTGGCAGGCAGTAGAGAGAGGTGACTGTGACACCCTCTTCAAGTTAGAAGGCACCCTTCCTTGGCTTCTCCTTTGATGCCACAGGAGAAAACAAGCTAACCCACTGTTCATCTGGGTCAGCAGTGAGTCCTTAGCCCCAGTGGTGCCAGCCAGAGC